TGGGTTTATTGGAATTATGTTTGTTTGTTTGTTTTCTTAATGGAAGACATTCACATATCATACAGTTCAGTAGTTTAATCATATTCAAAAGAGTTGTGTAATCATCATCACCATCAAGTTTAGGCTGTTTCTTCTTCCTGGTACTCCCTGGTGTAGGTTCCACATTAATTACCCTTGTCATGCGGCAACGGGTTGGATACTTCTCACCAAGTGTTGGAAGCATCCTTGTCTTATTTGAGTTAAGGAACTCGGTGTTTGACAATCAAAGTACTGGAAGGACATATTTCATTAATATGAAGTTACTCTGCAACTATGTTGAATGGTCTGCTTTTCTTATGCACGAGGGATGGCTAGACTTACTCTACTGATATTGAATATCGAAAAACAAAGGTGAAACATCAGGAAAATTTTATTCATTAAGGTGTTTTTTTTCAACTTTAAAATTCCATTTGAATGAAGAAAACATGAAGACACTTTTCTTTGATATAGTTTTGTTTGCTTCACTATGTTTGGAGCATGGTAGGATGACGAGCTAGTCCTCAGAGACTCATTGAGTAATAGACAGCCGGCCTATGGGAAACATCTGAACTCCAACATGCACACGTGCATTTTCCTACTAACTCCCTTACTACTATTTCATTCCCTGGATATGAGACTTCAGGGATTATCTGTATAGCCCAGGAGAGACCTGCTGAATCTTGAGAGCCACGGGGAATAATCCTGTTTGTGGACCTGCGGAATTCTCCATGGCACAGTAAAGGGAGCAAAATTGGAAAGAACAAGGAAATAAAAGTCTGTATAGGGGTAGTGGCAAAGGTTTTGTCTGGCACGACGTGGGCTGCTTAAGTACCCTTTTCCAGCTAGGGTTTCTCTCAGCGAACAGGTAAAGTTTAGAGTTAAATGAGAGGATAAAGTTAGCCCATCAATAAGATACCATTACTTTTAAAAAATACCATTACTAAAGTTTCTAATTGGCTCCAACTATTACTTTCTGTATCTCTTCATCTCTACCTGTGCTGTTTTCCTCTAACCCAAGAACACAAGCTCTTTTGTGCTTACTCTCTTTCTCACCCATGTCTACTTTAATTAGAGAACAAGTTAAGTAAAGAACATCTTTAACCTCAAAGCGAATGGGTGACTCTGGTCTAAGAAGTGGATAGATATCTGATTCTTTATAGTGAATGTATGGCCTTACCAGGTAGGAAACTCCCAGTTACTGGAATTATTGTAGGCTGAAGTTAGATGTCAACTATAAAACACTGCATGAACATTTCTATACTGGTTAGAAATTTGGTCTTTATAATTCTTCTCATCTAGAACCTTACCATGATTAGAGTTTGGGAATTCTCCACTTGAAAACAGAATTCAGGACACTGCCAGCAGGTAAGGAGTCGTTGTAGTTAATCTTTAGTTATAGTTAATCTTTAATCTGTGATGAGCCTTTAGGTGGGAAAATGTTTTCTTTCTATGACTGCAAGTCTCTGCTGCCCATTAGATATTCAAGCAGAAGAAAGAGCACATGTTTCCTGTGATGGCTAGTCTCACTCAATTGTATTCCATTTCCCACAAATGCCTTAGAATACCTAGCTCTTTTCCGACTACTTAAGATAAATGGGGGGATGTGGGTTGTTTGTTTGCTCTGCTGATATGCATACAATAGAAAACTTCTAGTTTCCACATGCTCCTTTAAGAAAGCATCTGTAATGAAACCATGAAGACGATACCAAACAGTAACACCATATTGCAGGTACATAGTCAGTCTCTTGTCCTGGCCTCCAAAGGATTTCGTGAGTAACAAATGCAGTTATAGATGTAAACGCTAGTTCTAATGTAAGTTGTACAAGTAAAAATGTCTGCATACATATATTGAGTTGGTTCTTTTAAAAACTGTAAACACCTATGCCAGTAGATTTCCAAGGGAGAGTAAACTGCTTTGATGAAGGGAAATAGACAGTAGTGTCAGGTCCATATAGAACTTTCAGAGAGTGAACTTGGAGTGTAAGAACTCTGTCATCAGGGGATAGCCTTGCATACCACCTGCTTTCTAGAGTCATATAGATAACACATTCTGAAGCCTCTTTTCAGTGAATAAGGAGCTTAGGCAAGAGATGTATTGATTTAGTCTTCTCTAATTACGTCCCTAAGAATCTATTGCACTAAGTTGTAATTTTCTCAAGAAGAATAAGTAGTGTTTATTTTCTCCTCCCTTTTCTCTTGTTTTGCTGTTGACTAGATGTTTGACTCAAGAAAGATATTTCATTTTTCTAGGCTTTATTTTCTTTACCTTAGAAATATGAATTATTTCAAATTTCACCTTTAGTATTTTCTCTTATACCCCCTTTGTCATTTTTCTTTGAAAACCTTATTTTCTTTCTGAAAAATCACCAACACACCTACACAAAGAGAGAGAGAGAGACTTCAGTTTACTATAAATATAGAAAATGTAAGCTAACAATCTAATAGGATAGGTATTTGAAATGCCCAGGCTGTCTCTGATAAGTAATTTAAGGAAATGAGCATTTTACAGGAATAGATAAAGCACCATGGCTAAGATTGGATAAATCAGAAGAGGAAGTCTTTTTCAAAAATTATTTTCATAGAGCTTTTGAAAGCTGCTACACATTTTTGATTCATTAGGAGAGTGCACCAAATGGAGACACTTGCGTTAGCTAGAAAAGATGGGGAGGTAAATAATTCCAGAGAAGAGAGTACATTATTCAAATTACAAGGGCTACAAAATAAAATGGCACTTTTGGGGAATGGGAGAGAATCTGAGCTACACTTTTATGCAGTGCAAAGAACTCTGACAAACAATTTATTCACAGAGAAAACATAAAAATTGGTTATTCCACATAATTAATTATAATAAAAACACTCACGTTTTGCTTTCTAAACCATTTACATGTTAATCTTCACATCGATCCTATGAAACAGATACTATTGTACCCTCCATATTACTTATGAAAGGGTTATGCTTGAAGAGATATTTTGTCAAAATGCTAGCCAGTGACAGATCTGGAATCTGAACACTCAATTAGCTCACTGCCATTGAGTTGATTCCAGTTCACAGCAACCCTGTAAGGCAGTAGAACTGCTCAGTGCGTTTCTGAGGCTGTACATCTTTAAGAGAGTAGAAAGCCTCACCCTTCTCCAGTAGAGCAGCTGGTGGATTTGAAAGACCGAGCGTATGGTTAACAGCCCATCGGGAGCTCAGTAAGCCACCAAATCCAAACCAAACCCACCACCATTCGTCAAGCCTGACCCTTATTGAGCCTACAGTACAGGGCATACCAGCCCTGCTGTTTCGGACAGTATAAATTTGGCAGTACTAAACCTAATTTTTCTCCTGCTGAGCAGCTAGTGGCTCCTAATCTCTGACCTGTAGTTAACAGTCTAGAGCTTCATCTACTATGGCACCAGGGCTCCTTCATCCGAACACCGTGCTAATCTAAAATCCATCCTCTTAACACTGCTGAGCTTCCTACTTAGTTTTATTCCCATCAACTGATACAGGCAATTGATGAATGTCTTATAGTTGAGAACTTTTCAAAAAGAGTATATGCTTCCTCTACATCTAATCATATCTAAAGTCAAAAGATGCCAGCAAAGATACTGGTGCTGTCAATATGAGCATGTCTTCCAGATTTCCACTGAGACCTTTAGACTGACTCTCAATCATGCCATTATGCATGATCACCATGCCTTAGCATTAGTAGGTCCTTATCCTATGAAAGGATTCACATGAATTCTCCCTGTCTCACTCTCACTGCCACTTGGGTAAAATGGATTACTCTAAAAAAAAGGGTTGAATCCTTATTGTATTTCCAAGTGAATGTTCTTTGCCAATTAGTATTCCATTAGATTATAGAAGACAGATACATTTTCTATGATTAGATGTGGCTACTTGAGACTCCTGAGTAGAGAGTACTTCTGAGGCCACATTCAGGCTCAGGGGCACAGAAGGATGATCATAATGGAGTAGAAGCATCGGCATGTGCATCTATTAGTTCTACTTCTGCCCTCGGGGAGTCCTGAGTATAAGGAATGTAATGGATAGGAATGACTTCAATGCAGGAAAATAAAATAACTCATATTTCATATTGAGTCTGTTTTAGTTATTCCATTAAACTACCAATCAGCAGTTTTTAAAATATTGGTTAGAGAGGGTGATGAAAAGGCAGGAGAGAAAGAATTTTACTAGTAGATTGGCACTACAATGTGTGTTTGAAGCTGAATCTGCCTTATTTAGGAATCCTGATGGCATAGGGACCGACTTATCCATTAAGCTGTTAACCACAAGGTCAGTGTTTGAACCTAAAACTTTCTGGGGAAAAGAGGACTCTGTCTATCCCCTTAAAGATGGATAGTCTCAGGAACCCTAAACTCTAAACTCACTGCCATCATGTTGCTTTCAACTCATAGGAACCTCAATTATCTCCCTGGAGGGTGCTTATGGATTTGAACTGCCAACCTTGCAGTTAGCCCTCCAATGCTTGGTCAACAGTGCTGCTCTTTCCCACAAGGTCGCAGTGAGCTAAATGGACTCAATGGAAATGAGGTTATGATTTTTGTGTACTTACCACTGCTAGGGAGTCTATTTTGACTCATGGGATCCCCACAAAGACTTTCCAAAACTAATTTTTTTTTTTGGAAGCAGGTAACCTAATCTTTCACCTAGAGAACACCTTGTGGATTTGAACCCTTAACTTTTCAGTTACCAAGCCAATGCTTATGTTACAGTGCCACCATGGCCTCAATATTTGTACACAGGGTGTCATTCCCTCTGGGGCAATAGATGCATGCTTGACAGAATACATATTAGAATATATTGACAAGGATTCTGCCTTCTCTTACCATCCCTGCCCCCATGTAAAAATTAAAATGACTCCCCACCTAAGGAAATTCCAATGTAACATGTTATTCTCTACCATTGTATCTTTAGGAAGTGACCCTTCAGCGACCCACAATTGCCTATCCCATGTGCAAGTCACATTGGCTTCATGGCAGATTATAACCACTCCTCTTTCCAACATCGTTACTTTGTCTTAACTGGAATTCCAGGGCTTGAGCAAAAGTATTACTGGATGGCATTCCCATTGGGGGCTGTATATGTCATTGCCTTATTTGGCAATGGCATCATCATCTCTACTATCAAATCGGAATTGTCCTTGCATATCCCTATGTACTATTTCCTGTGTATGCTTGCATTGGCAGACATGGGACTTGCCCTGTGTACTCTGCCCTCGATGCTGGGCATATTCTGGTTTAACTACAAGTTCATTGCCTTTGATGCCTGCCTTGTTCAGATGTACTTCATCCACACCTTCTCAGCCATTGAATCAGGGGTGCTAGTGGCCATGGCCTTCGATAGGGTTGTGGCAATCTGGAACCCTCTTAGGTACAGCACCATCCTAACCAATAGGGTGGTATGCAAAGTTGGGGCTGTCATCTTGACGAGAGCAGTCTGCGTGGTCTTTCCGGTGCCTTTCCTCATCAAAAGACTCCCTTTCTACCGGTCCAACATCCTCTCCCACTCCTTCTGCCTCCATCAAGATGTCATGCGTCTTGCCTGTGCCAGCACCCGAGTCAACAGTCTCTACGGCCTCATTGCTGTCATCTTCACTAAGGGTTCTGACTCCCTGTCCATCCTTCTCTCCTATGTGTTCATCCTGCGAACAGTCATGGCTATTGCCTCCGGGGAGGGGCGGCTGAAGGCGCTCAACACTTGTGTTTCACACATTTGTGCTGTACTCATCTTCTATGTGCCGCTCATTGGGGTGTCTGTCATTCACCGCTTTGGAAAGCATCTTTCCCCGCTGACTCACGCTCTCATGGCTAATGCCTACCTTCTTGTACCCCCTGTGCTGAACCCCATAGTCTACACTGTGAAGACCAAGGAAATACGAAGAAAGATCATCCAGATATTTGTTCATACCAAGGTGACTGCAGAGGGCTAGGGTCAGCCAGTTTACAAGAAAAACTTATACTGCAAATGCTCACTTATGGCAATCAGAAATAAAAGCTTATTTTATTTTATGTTGATACTTTCTGTGTGGTTTCAATTGGGCAAAGAGGGAGCCCAAGGGTCATGCAGTATACTTTCCCTCTCCCACATAAAACTCCTCTTTGCCTGATATAAAAAGAATGGAATCTGAAATAACTAAATGTGGTATACAATGGTCTCACATTTCTGCCTTGGCAAAGAACAACTAAAGGCAGGGAATATTATTGATTACTGTGTATGGCTGGGTTGACCAGAGAAAAAAATCCAGCGATGAAGAGCTTTATATCAAGGAGTCATTAGATATCAACAAAACACCCCAGCCCAGTCCAACCCAAGTTTATCAATATGGTACTAGTCCATAAGTCCCTCCTCAGACTCATGCACAGTCACAGGCGATGATGCGGAATGCAGGAAGATCACAGGCTGATGGGATAGACAGATGGCAAAGTCCTGTGTATCCAATAGCAGTGGTAACATTGCAGGGTTCTGGTCAGAACCAAGGTTAGGGGTTGAGTCAGAAGGATGTGGAAGGCAGAGAGAAAAGGGGTGGTTCCCTTCCTATGAGAATGCCACTCCCACAAGGGAGGCACCACTAGGCTGGAACCTGATTGACAGATTGAATACTACCTCTACACCTTTATATATCTTCAAGTTGACACTAAATTATGTAACTGCCACAATTATATTGGAATAAATATTTAAATAGAAAATTCATGAGTTCCATATCTCTTCATTTAACCTTATTAAGTTAAAAACCTTCATTTTCTGAAGGGGCATGACTCAAAATGAGAAGAAAGATTTATAAACATACATTAATTGTTAGAATGTGAAATGTATGAAGTATGAATCTAGAAAACTTAGAAATTTCCAACAAGGAAATGAAATAAATAAAAAATATATATCCTAGGCATTAGAGAGTGAAATGAACTGGTATGGTCATTTTTAAATCAGATAACCATATGATTTACTATGCCATGGATTACTCATTCAAGAGAAATGGTGCCACATTCATTGTCAAAAATAGCATTTCAAGATCTAACTTGAAATATAATTCTATCTGTGATAGAAAAATATCTGCAAGCATAAAGGAAACCAATTAATACAAATATCATTCAAATTTATGCACCAGTCACTAATGCTAATAATGGAGAAATGGATGAATTCTAACAACTTTTTAAGTCTGTAACTGATAAAACATCACATCAATATTCATTGATAACAATTGGCAATTAGAATGCAAAGGCTGGAACAAAGAGGAAGGGACAAGAGTTAGAAAATATGATATTGGTAAAAGACCCAAAACTAGATATCATGTTATGAAATTTTACAAGGCCAATGATTTCTTCATTGTAGATACTTTTTTTAACAACATGAATGGTGACCATATACATCTACTTGGCCAGAGGGAATACAAAGGAATCATATTGACCATATCTATGGGAAGAGACGATGGAGAAGTTCTGTACCATCCACCAGAAAGACTTAAGGGCTGACTGTGGGACAGACCATCCATTTCTTATCTGTAAATTGAGGTTGGGATTGAAGAACACTTAAGCAACTCCAAGAGAGTTAAAATATGACCTTGAGCAGATTCCATCTGAATTTAGAGGACATCTCAAGAATAGGCTTGACATATTGAACACTAATGACAGATGATCTGACAAACTGTGGAATAACATCAAGAACATTAGACACGTGGAAAGCAAAAGGTCATTAAAAAGTCAGAAAAGAAAGAAAACAATCAAAGTGGTTATCAGAAGAGACTCCAAATTTGCTTTCAAGCATATAGCAACTAATGTAAATGGAATACATTATGAAGTAAAACACCTGAACAGAAAAAAATTAAAAGGCAGTTTGAAAAACAAAACAACAACAAAATAAAGTAATAAAATAAAAAGTGCAAATATCTAGAGTTAGAAAACCAAATAGGAAGTCTATGTGGATTCCAGCTCTGGCTCTTTTGTACTTATGTACTTGCTCATCAAACCCAGCACTCAATTCCTTGGTTCATTTTCTCCTGTCTTGTTCCATTCTTCTGACATGTTCCCCCCCAGTTATGTCCAATAATCTTAATTATAAATTTATATCGACATATAATTTTATTCTCAAACTGAAAATGAAATGAAACTTTGTCTAGAATCTTTGCATGAAGGACAAACTTAAGAATTAGTCTGTGTTTGTCTCCATGCCTAAGTGCAAGAAGCTTTCTTTTTTGTGCAGGGAAAACTCCCTGTTTTTCATATGTAAAATCAGCAGTTACATATCAGTTCGCTTCTAATTTGATTATCAAATTATGTAGGTTTTTCTGTTTAATGGTCAATATAGTTTTTAACTTTTATGTTGAATTGGACCCTAAATATAACAAGCGATAAATATATGCCAATTTATCATGACAAGTTTTCAAGTCTATGAAATAAAGAAGATATGTACCTAATGGAATTGGTGCCTTTGGATATATTCCCATATGTAGTATTTATACATTTCTTTTAAAATATTTGCTATATGTTCAAGTGGAAAAAAAATAACTCACTGCCATCGAGTCAACTCCCACTCATAGAGACCCTGTCAAGGTTTTCGAAGACTGTTCATCTTCAGAGTAGCAGATAACTTCACCTTTTGTTCTACAGTGGCTGGTGGGTTTGAGCTGCTGACCTTGCAGGTAGTGTGCTGAATTGCTAAATGCAAGAGGTGCAAACCCATCAGGTGCTCAGGAGAAAGATGAGGCGATCTGCTCCTGTAAAAAGTTACAGTCTCAGAAATCCCAGGTGGACTCACAATGAGTCTGAGTCAGCTCAATCACATTAGGTAAAAAAATAATAAACTTGGTAATATTTTCATGGTCCACTTTTTTTCCCATGGTATGTTGTTTTAACATCTGGCTTGTTTCCCATTCTGTTTTCTTCCCCTTAGGAAATATCCTTTCTTCACTCCTACACAGCCCTCATAATTCCACAAAACTGTATCTTACATTGTGAAATATGATTATAGTCCTGTGATGGCCATGAGTGAGATGTCAGAAGCAGAGAAAAGAATCAAGAAATTAATATTTTACTGCATTTGTGTCTATAGGCTTTTTGAATGTTGTATGAGTGGATATTGTAGCTTTAAAGAAAAGAATAGAAGTTGATTCATATGGAATAAACATGAATTGAATTTGGATTGTTTGGTAATTGATGTACATAAAGGTCTTGAGATACATATTTTGCCAAGGCAGTTAAAAATGAAGTATTAGCACTCGAGAGAGAAAGGGGGTTTCCATAGCATGGATGGCATTTTGGAAAAGGATATTTTTCTAACACCGGCAATTTATCCAAGAGAAATTAAGCTCAGAGTATTAGGGGAAAGCATTTGATTTGTTAATTAAAAGAGATCTGAGCTCTTAAAAATGTAGTTCTCTTGTAGTCATGGAGGTCGGGGTCACACTGCAGGGGCTTGAGAATGGATTGCAAACGGAGAAGATAAGATGATATAAAAGTAGATTATTGGTCGGAAGAATTTTTGATCCCATCACCTCCTTTCCACATAAAAAAATACTGTCATTCAAAGGACACAATCAATTTATTCCTTTTGTTACCATAGTATTTGATCATCAATAATATATTCCACAATGATTGGTTTTTACTCTTTTTTTCTACAGTGGTAATTTTTAACTACTGTGGATAATTTATTTGTACAAGGAAAATAGAAAGCAACACCCCTTAATATGCTTATATTTCACATTCTTTCAAAACTGTATGCATACAGGACTGTACTGTACTAATACATTACAAACACACCAGGAAGCATTTTAAAATATGAGATAAAAACATAAGTACATTGGAGGACAGTGGGAGCCCAAAACCCATCCGCAAAGTGTGTAGTCAGAGCGAGCTGCTGGCAGATCCACTCTAGCCAAAGAGCCCTACTAGGAAGCAGGGACTTTGTAACCTTGATTATGCAGGACAGAACTTGATACTTGGCCAGTTGACCTCCCCCATAGACACGTCCTTCAATTGTTGTGGGGGAAAGTATCTCTTAGATGCACCATGACAAAAACCTTTTCCCTGGCTTCTTGAATGTTGATGGGGTCTTCTTGCTTCATGATTACTTGTAGTTTTGCCTTTACACTAATGTGATCTTATCCTTACCACCTTAGCACGATTTGTTTTTCATTGTTTACTGTGGGGTTTCCTAGCTGTGAAGCTCAGGAGGAGGGGATGCACAATGATAACCGATTCAGGGGATGTTAGGGCGTGGGATGGGCGACAGCGAAGGGAAGGGAGTTTGTAAGTAAATAATGAAGGAGGGGGTGGGGGTGGGGGGTAGGGAGTGGGAGTGGGGGAGAGCACTGGGGCTGGTGGTGAGTGAGCAGCGCACTATAGGGGCAAATCAACCGTGAGGGGAGGGAATGCTCTAGCGTGGATGGTGGTGGTGATTGTGCAATTCCCCGTTGATATGTTTGAACAATTGAACTATTGACATGTATGATGTGTAAATTATCTGCCAACAAAATTTTTGGGAAAAAAAGTTCTATTTTTTTATTCTTTGTAGCCAAATTGATTATATTCTGTTTTGCCTGGGGCTCAGTATCTCCATTTAGATAACAGTGTTCTTCTTATCTTCATTGATACAAAATGCCACTTGGGCTGCAAACTGCAAGTCAGCAGTTAGAAACCAGCAACTGCTCATCTGGAGAAAGACCAGCTTTCTACTCCTGTAAATGGTTACAGTTTAAGAAACTCACAGGGGGTGTTCCCCCTTGCCCTATAGGACCTCAATGAGTAATATATTCAGGCATGCACATTTCTATGCTCTACAGACAAAGTTTTAAAGTGATCTCCATTGAATTTCTAAAGTCTCTATGAAGGCTTGCAATTTTACCTTACTCTGCCTAATTTCATTTTGGTGAGCTGACCCTCTCTCTTTAAATTTGCACCATATTGAACACTACCTGAATTGTCATGTATCTCTATC